CGCAGGTAGCGGGGGGCTGCGGGGAGGGGAGCAGCGAGCCTTGGTGGGCGACCATTAGAGCCCTCCCGGCCCTACCTCAGCCCGCCCCGCTCCTGAGGGGAGCTGCCCAGCCGGCCTCCACGCTCATTGCTTTTCTTAGAAAGTTGGGTTTTTTCTGCTGAAACTAAGAAGATTCCCCGTTTGAAAGCAAGCCGGGCAGGCGCTGAGGGGGGCTGGTAGAAGGGGGGACTCCTGCAGACCTTCGAGCTAGCTGCAGGGTCCAGTTGCCATTTGGCAGGGGAAGGGGAAAGTAGGAAAGGCGAACGGGGAACGTCAACAGTTGTGTCGTCTTCCTCGATGGATACCGATATCGGGGCGGGTCTTGTCTCCTTTTTCGGCACTGTGCACTGCCCCGAGCGGGGCAGGGATGAGGCTACTTGGGCAAACGGTCCAGCAAAGTGTTGGTTGAGCATGGACGTAACTGTGGCCCAACGCCCGCCGTGCTCTAACAGCGCTCTTCTCCGGCTCCTGCAGGTCACTTGTGTGTTGCCTGCCCCTCTTGGGCAGGAATAGCCCGTCCTTGCTTTCCTGTTGGGCCATTTAAGCTGTGTTCCTGACGGTGTGTCTGAACATTTTTAGTCACCAAATGAATCTCGGAGATCTGTTGACAGTAGCCCCCCTAACAAACACCCCGGAGGGTTGACATATATCAGACGTCCAGGCCTTTGCTGACAAAAGAGGGCTTTGCCGGTTCCCTGCATCCCTAACACCGTCCCTTCTGTTTTGCAGGAACAGAGGAAGTCGTCTTTGGGAAGGTTGGAGGAAGCATCCTCCTTCTCTGCCGAAATGTCTCCAAAGAAGCAACCGAGGTGGTCTGGTTTCAAGGGGATCCGCACTCCTTCCCCCCACTCTTCTCCTCAAGGGTTGCCTTCCCCCCGGACGTCCGTTTCTCCCTGGTTGACAACAGCTCGCTGCGCATCACAGAGCTGCGTGTGCAGGACGAAGGCAACTACACCTGCAAGGAAGTGCTGAACAAGACGGACCACGAGCACCGCGTCCAGCTCCTGGTAGCCAGTAAGTCTGTCCCGTGCCTGTGAATTTCCTCCCCTGAGTCTCGCAGGTCCCCAGATTCATCCGGCACTGGTGGAAAAATAGTGTAAAAAAAAAAAAAAGGGGGGCAGGGGGGCCTTAGCATGCAAACTGCGAGCAGGCTGATGTTACTCAAGTACACGTTCATAAACACCGAGACGTGTCTAAACGGTCCGTCAAGGATCAGTTGTGTGCAATGCAGAGGGCAAAATGCCAGCTGTTAAGTCCATGCTATGTCTCTTCAGTTCCTTCTTCACTGGTGGTGACAAACTAGGTTTTGGACAGATCTTTCATATCCCTTAGCATGCAAACTGCGAGCAGGCTGATGTTACTCAAGTACACGTTCATAAACACCGAGACGTGTCTAAACGGTCCGTCAAGGATCAGTTGTGTGCAATGCAGAGGGCAAAATGCCAGCTGTTAAGTCCATGCTATGTCTCTTCAGTTCCTTCTTCACTGGTGGTGACAAACTAGGTTTTGGACAGATCTTTCATATCCTGTAGCTGCTCCCGGGTGGCCCTTTGCCTCAGAATCTGGCTGACTTGAGCCTTTGTAAATCTTAGGGTGGGGGCTGCCGCTCACTGGTTTGTTTTTTTTTCCCTCGATTGAAACACATTTTTGTAGTAGATGTGCTGTGCTATTCCTTGTTGCTTTGGTGTGAGGCTGGAGGGTCCTCAGCTGACTGTGCTGAATGTTCCGGCGCAGCCTTCTCGTTTGGGTGGAAACACCACGTTCCTCAAATTTACTGCTGGGCGCGCGGTCCTGGGAGCGTGCCTGTTGTTTCCAGCACAGGCTGTTCTTTCAGCCTGTTTGTCATGTTGTGTCTTCTGGTGCTCTCTCCCCTTTCCATCCTTACTTCATTCATTCGTTCTCTTAGAAATCTTCACAGCACGGGTGGGGTGTCTGTGTTGCACACGGATCAGGCTGGAGAGCGATCCCTTTGCACGCCACTGGTGCAGGTCCTTCCTGCTGCTGCCGGGGAACCATTACCTTGCCCAGATGCCTCGTCTTTTCTGTGGGATCAGCCCCCTCCAGACCAGCAGGGAGCACAGGTCCTGTGGCCGGTACCGCTCCTCTCCCCCTCCCCAGATCTGATCAGGTGTGACAGAGGCTCCGGCCCCTCGCACCTTGGCAGTGACCTGCTTTATGCCAGCCAAGCCCATCGTACAGGGTTGAGAAGAGGGAAAGACTGGTGCCACTTTCCCTGCTTTGGTGACACTCTGTGCTCTGTTGGCCCCTGCCTTTCTTGCTGGCCTTTCCGTCGACACCTGCCACGTGTGAGGCCTGGTTTTTGTTTGCATTCAGGGTGTTCCTTCTCAGTGTTTGGTGAAGGGTGTGTGTTGTAAAAGTCGAACCTGTTTTGTACAGATTAAATCTCTGAAAGTTTACGTGAATAAAAATTCCCTTCCTGGGGCAAGGAACCTGCAGATGGGGTTTGGAGGGTCATGGAAGGCTGGAGTGAAGGAAGCAAAGCCCAGGCTGCTTCAGAGAATTGTATAGGTGTGGGGCTTGGGAGCGGGGAGCCCTAAGTCTGGAGCACTGCTGCGAAACACTCGTGAGCAAAAGGTAGCTGTGGCATGCCAGGTGTTGGTGCTGCACTCTGGACTGCATTTATTAGCATGGAATTAATGTGTCAATTAATTCCCAAAGGTTACAAAGGTGATACGGGACACTGATGTGCCCTTAAATAGGTGAGAGGGGTATTTCTGGTGCTGCTTTAGGTCAGCAGAAGCAGCATCCACAAAGACCAGAAGTTGAAGCTTCTCAAGCTCAGACTAAAAGCCCAGGCCCTGATTTTTTACATTCACAGTTACTTGGAGCAACTTGGCCTGGGCTGGAGTGAACCTCTCAGATACACACTCGGCACCGCTGTGAAAGAGCCCCCCAGGCTTCGTGTAGGAGTTACCAGTTGACGGTCTTCGACCCATCTCATGGGTTGTACCAAGAAGTTCTCTTTTGCTTAAAACTCTGTTTAAAAAACCCACCAGCAGTACAGTAAGCATTCCAGCAACGTGACGAAGGTGCAGCCCTGCCTTGAGCTGCTGTTCTGTGTTCGTTTGGGGTAGGAAGCCCATGGTGTGAAGCAAACGTGCGGTTGTAAACCTCCAAAAGATTCCTTGGGTAGTTGACATAAGCCACTGTTGGCTCTTCTGTGGGCCTGAGGTCCTTTTTGCTGGTGTTTTGTGATGGTTTTTTTGGTTGTGGGGGGTTTGTTAACGTTTTGGGAACAGATGTCTGTTAGGTTTAGGTTTGGGCTTTGTTAATGTTTTGGGAACAGATGTCTGTTAGCGTTTAGAGAGAAGAGTAAGAGCTGTAATGGGGAGAGCCTGGGAGTTGATGTAAAGCTGATGGCTTCAGGAGGCAGTTCCTTGAACCAGTGCAAAAAGTGCAGCTCTCCGGTGGGACATCCTGGCAGGGCTGCGTCCACCTTTCGATGGGAGGCAGTTTCTGGTCGTTCAGGCTGACAGGCTGCTCTTATTAACCACAGCCAGGATTTTGGATCAGTTGTGAGACCTCCTCAGAGCTGGGATGGAGGAGAGTGTAGAGAACCTTCTTGCTAGAGCTGGGTGGTTTCAAAGCCCGTACAAGATGCATGTATATAGTTCCTGGAAAGCCAAGCTCGAGAAGGTATGTTCTTGCAGCTGACATGGGATTTTGCCATGATGTTTTGTGGGTTTTTTTTTAACTCATTTAGTTTGAAAGTCACGGGAATAAATACTCCGCAAAATAAACCTCAGGCATCCCTCTGACACCTCTTGCTTTGGCAGCGTCTGATCTCTCAGGGGGGTCGTGTTCAGCGTTGGATTAGGCAAAGGACGCAGGGACACAGCGTTAATGCTGCCTGGATCAGAGTCCAGAATCCCTGTGGCTCTTGGACAAACACGTGCGTGTGTGTGTCTGGGTGAAACCAGCTGATGGGCGGGAGGCAGGAACTCGTACCGCCTGAAACGTGCGCCCGCTCTCCCCGAAGGGATTGCTCTGGGGTTTCTGTTGCCTTCAGACCCGCCTCTGCCACCAGGTCCTTGTTCCTGTGTTTCCATCACCAGCCCGGCCGTGGTGGTTACCGAGCGGCGCTGGCACCAGGCCAGCGGTGCCTTACCCTCCCTCTGTTCTTTGCTGGAGTTTGTCCCCGCTGCTGCAGCGTGGTGCGGGCACGGAGCGTGGTGCGGGGCTGAGTAACAGCGCCCGGCCCCACACGGCAGCGGCAGGGGTGCTGCGAGGGAGCAGGGCGCGCCTGCTTCGGCTTCAGGGGCGCGTGGCCGTGGCCCTGACCCCGCGAGCTGGAGTCGCCAGGACGCCCTGTGGGTAGAGTGTCTTCTACGCTGGGAACAGCCCCCTCCTCCAACAGCGTGCTGGGCTTGCTGGGGAAGTGCTGGTGGCTCTGAGAAGCTGGTTCCTTGTCCCTGGGAAAGAGCCCTGATGCCTTCCGTGTTCCCTTGGGAAGTCCGAGTGCTCGTACCAGCGACAGGGAGAGGCAGAGCCCTGCTCTCAAGTGGCGTGAATCGGTGTCACCCCCTTGTAGCTGTGATATGAGGACCAAGGGCAGCGTGGAGGTTTTTGTGCTCTGCCTGTGGTTGTAGGTGCTCATCTCGTCTCCCTTGGATAAAGCTATGGCAGTAATTTTTTCCTCCCTGTGCGTTAGTCCCTCAAGGCTTGGCTGTAGCTGCTGTGACAGCCCTCTGCTTGGTCCCTGTCGGCGGTCATTCAGAGCTGTGCTCCCCTGGGGCTGTGGGGTGCGGGTCGGGGAGCAAGATAGGCAGGGAAACCGCAAAGATTTCCAAGAGGAATGATGGCAAACGTGAGTACTGGCGGGGGTTCCAGCCCTGAGATGCTGAGAGCAGTGACCTGGAAGTGTTTCTGACCCTGTGCTGTTCTTGCTGATAGATCCACCACAGTCAACCCCAAAGTGCTGGGCCGAGACCTCCTCGTCGGGGCTGATGCTGCAGCTGTTCTGCAGCTGGCCTGGGGGGTATCCCCACCCCACCCTGCACTGGAGAGAAGAGGGCCACGATCTGGAGAACTCAAGCTGGATCATCAGCTCCGCGAGCTCCTCGGACACCCACGTGGAAACGCTGAACAGCTCCCACCTCTCCCACCGCCAAGTGTTCAAGTGCGTGGGGAGCCACGTTGTCAAGCAGGAGGAGCCTGCGTGCTCCGTGGAGATCAGTGAGTTGTGTCGCCTCTGACTCGTCATTCTCTGCCCTCCGGAGCACTGGGGCGGTGCTCAGGCAAGGCAGGGTGCGGGGGGCTTGCTGCGGGGGGAAGGCGCAGCGGTGGCTGCACGAGGCACAGGAGTCCTGCAGCTGACACCCGTCACGGCGTGGCTGCAGGTGAGTTGTGGTTTAGCCCGCCTTCAGGGGCTGACCCGCCTCCCTGCGCCAAGGTTTTCACCTGTGCGAGCCCTGCCGCCTGTGTGGAAGCGAGAGGTGGTTGTGGTGCCTTGCTCAGCTTGAGATTAAGCTTGGCAGGGCTGGGTTTATACTTGCGTGTGCCCCCAGGCCCCCTTCAAGCATCTGAGGGGTCTGACTAAAGTGGCTTCTGAAAACCTGAGCTGTGTTTCTCCTCCAACAGTTATCAGGGCTACAAAAGAGCTCTGCTAATCCCAAGGAAAATTCCTGGCCTGCCTTTCCCCTCTCTGCCATCTTCCCACTGGTTACCCTCCGACCCATTCTTCCCTGGGGTTATAAAGACAGGTGTCAGAAAAAGGCCTGAGCAACGTGCAAGTGGCTCGGATCGCTCCTGGGAAGGCTGCTGGAGTCTCGTGAGGGAGCTGAATGCCAAACCCACAGTGCTCGAGTCCCAGACTCCTGTCTGACTTCCTTCAGTTAATGATTATTAATCAGTCCGATGGCTGATTGCTTGTTACGTTAAGACTCCGTAATTTCCTCCTTGACTCTTTTCTTTTTCTTTTTCTTTTTTTTTTTTTTTCCCTTCTTCTTTCCCCCTGGGCTGCTCAGAAATCCCTTCGCTGGAATCGGAGCCCCCAAAGACCTGCTTTGTGGGTGACAATGTGACCCTGACGTGCCGTGTGACGGAGAGCACCCCGGGGGCGAGGCTCACCTGGCTGCGGGACATCGCCCAGCCGGAGGTGGAGATCCAGTCTGGAGGGAGGTACCTCATCGCCCAGGAGGGCAACGTGTCCCAGCTGACCATCCAGAACTGCTCCCAGGGCGCCGACGGGGGCTGTTACGTCTGCAAGGCGCAGAACCCCGTGGGGCTGAGGGAGCTCTTCGTCTGCCTCACAGTGAAGCGTGAGTGGGGCTGCCTGGGGCTGCTGCGGCAGGGCTCGAGGACGACTCGGGGCCACAGCTCACGGAGGGGGGGAGACCGCTGGCAAGCCCCCAAGGGGCTGTGTTTGCCACTAAGAGCCCGCTGTGCCTGTTGTGGCTTTCCATAGCCTTGGGGCAAGCGTAGGTGCAGGACTGGCTGCCTTCCTCCCAGGGTGAAAAGGCCTGATTCCCCTCGCCTCGGGCCTGGGAGCGGTGCGTCCTTGGTCCCTCCTGAGGGGTGTGAACGCGGAGGAGCACCTCCAAGGGCCAAGCTGCTCAAGGTGCCACGGGCAGGGGTTCACTTGCTTTCGCTGAGTGCACATGGGTACAAAACCAGGGGCCTTGCTGTGGTGCTGTCTCTAGCAATGAAGTAGGAAGGCCTGAAGCCCTCCTGCCTTGTGCTGGTGGGACCGCTGCGATGATGGGGAGTGAGAGCTGAAGCAGCACCGGGAGCTGCTCTGTCGCTTGCACTGAGATTTCCTCGTCCACCCGTGTCCGGGTGACAAGCTGGACGCCTGTGCCGCCTCTTCTCTCTGCAGACCCAGAGAACATCGTTGGGGTCGTGGGTGCAGTGGTGGTCCTGTCCCTGCTGGTTGTTCTCACTGTCACCGGGGTCGTCTTGTACTACAATCCCCTCCTGTGCCTGAGAGGTAGGAGCTCTCCTCTGCCCAAGCCAGGGAGAGGGTTTTATCCCTAACTAGCTTGTGCCTTGTGTGCTGTTATGATCACCCCAGCCCTTGGGCCTCATCCCGCTCCTGATCAAAACCCTGGAGGCAGATGGGTTGGAAAGACAAGGCCCTTCCCCAGCTCAGTGCCTCGGGCACCTTCCCCTCCCCTTCTCCAGGCAGCTGTACTGCTTTGGGCCTTCTCCCCCTTTCCTGGGGACCCCTCGGATGCTCTCGTTGTGTACGTGGGCAGGTCACCTTCACGCCCGTGCCTCCAGGCGTGGCTGCAGGCAGGACTGGCAGGACTCGTACAGCAAAACCAGTAGCGTGCTGCCCGCGGGACTGCGCTGGGGCCGGGTTCTAACGCTCTCTTTTTCCCTTCCCTTCTCTCTCCTTCAGGTGCTGCCTTCAGGTGAGTGTTGATTTTCCTCGGCCCGGTCCTGCGTGGCCTCGCTCGTCCTCCTCCTGGCAGAGGTGATCTCCCCGTAGGGCAGGGAATCCCACCCCAGAGGCAGGAGCCGTCCCCAGAGAAACGCGGTTCTCACGTGGGGGCTGCGCCTCCCGCGGGAAGGGGACGGTGGGGCTGGGTGGGGGAGCAGGAGGGTGAGGGGAGAGGAGGGCAGCTGGCATCAGAGCAGGAGTGGCATCGCTTTGGGATGGTGCAGAGATGGTGCTGCCGAGGGACCCGTGGGTGCGGGGTGGGGGGGGGTTGAGGCCGTGCAGGAGAGCTGCTCCCTGCCGCGGGGGAGCCCGCGGGCTTCGAGAGGAAATAAAACGGGGGGGTCTGCTGCGCTGTGGGGGGGCTTGCCCCCGTCCTTCCCCCCTCGGGAGGGATGTCTGGTAACTGTGCAGGTGCCTTCCTGGGGGTTCAGCTGCACCAGATTCCTTCTCTGCTTCCTGCTCGCAGCCCTCCCGGCCCCGCTGCCTTCCCTTGCCCCGTTGGTGCTGCGGCCGTGGGAAGACTCTTATCTGGGAGCCTCTGTTTCCGTCTGGAGGGGAGGGGAGAATAACTCCCTTCGGGAGGGGCTGGTGCAGATAGTGCGTGAATATTCATGGAGTGGTTGGAGGACTTGGGAAGGCGGATGGGAAGCCGTGCCCGAACGCTG